CGTACATACCAGCACCATCTGTTTTGATTTTGTTTGACGGTATACTGGGCTCTCCCAGGCCTAAGGTGTTGGTTGCCACCACTCGAAACTCGTACTCCATCCAAGGGATTAAATCCACTGCTTTCGCCGCTTCCATGTTTCCTTCAATGATTGGGGGATCTAGGAAAAAAAATTAAACAAAAAATATGAGTTGATGAACTTGCTCTTTACATTTTATCTATTTTATTTATTTGAATGACAGAGGCAGAGAGAGAGAGAGAAAGATCTTCTACCCACTGGTTCACTCCCCAAATGCCTACGACACGCGAGGCAGAGCCAGGGCGAAGCAAAGAACCAGGAACTCAATCAGGGTCTCCCTAGTGGGTGGCAGGGACCTCCCACTGAGCCATCACTGCCACCTCTCAAGAGGAACCTCTGCAGCAGGAAGCTAGGATTGGGAGCAATCTGGACTGAAATCCGGGTACTCCGATGTGGCCGGTGTCCCAATAGGGTATCTTAACTGCTGCTCAAATGTCTACCATGGCCGGCGCCACGGCTCACTAGGCTAATCCTCTGCCTTGCAGCGCCGGCACACGGGATTCTAGTCCCGGTTGGGGCACCGGATTCTGTCCCGGTTGCCCCTCTTCCAGGCCAGCTCTCTGCTGTGGCCAGGGAGTGCAGTGGAGGTTGGCCCAAGTGCTTGGGCCCTGCACCCCATGGGAGACCAGGAAAAGCACCTGGCTCCTGCCATCGGATCAGCGCAGTGCGCCGGCCGTGGCGGCCATTGAGGGTGAACTAACGGCAAAGGAAGACCTTTCTCTCTGTCTCTCTCTCTCTCACTGTCCACTCTGCCTGTCAAAAAAAAAAAAAAAATGTCTGCCATGAATAACTTTGCCAACTCCCCATTTTCGTTACACTGTTTCGGAGAGAACGGCGGGTATTATAGGCAGTTGAAGAAAACTAACCACAAGGAGTGACAGGACGTTGAGTTCAGGCAGGGAGGCCACTGCTGAACACGCTCAACAGAGGACGCCCGTTTGCATCACCCGTCTGGTAGGTCTCGGGTTGGGGAATCCTGCACTTCCAACAGGCTCCTGGCCATGCCTTTGCTGCTACTCCATGGGCTACACCCTGAGTAGCGAGAACTCTAGGAAGACTCTAGAGAGACTTCTAGAGGCAAAGGTGCAACCGGGGAAAATTTCTTAGGGACGGTGACTGCTGCAGTCCAGGACCAGAAAACGAGGTACTACCGAGATGGTAAAGGACGATGCTCACGCATATTTCTAGTTGGTGGAGTAGATTTATACTCTCTTCGCTCAGAGCAGCGATAACAAACATTAAAATAATTCAGTACTCCTCAGAATTCATGCTAGTGGATACTAACATGAGGTTATAAATTATCAGTAGGATATGACTCTAGCTTATTTATTTCATCAAGATATGATAAAATATACAATCAAGCAAAGTCTGTATTGTAAGCTCTCTTTAAATATTTCCATGTGATAAATAATAACCTACACATACACTTGCATTAAACACCTGCACACCACTTATCTGGAGAATTTGTTCCTTTAGGTCTCTGACTCATCACATCCTTATTTAGGGAATTCGAGTCTGGCAATGCAGACCATGAAGGTTATGTCTTCCTAAGCTACTCATCCATTACCATAACAAACAGGAATCATTCTAGGTTCCAGGTTCTAATTTTGCACAAATTTTCTTGTGGCTGAGCCCATCCCGTGCTGCACCTGCCGTGATGTTAACTCTGCTGGACACTGATTCTGCCATCCGTTCTCTCCGTTACGGGTTTGTTGACTTCTGATGGGAAGTGCGGCACCACCATCTCCTCTGCTTTGCTTCTACCTCTTGATTTCCTGCTCTCCCACCCACTTCACATTCATCCAGAACCCTCCAGCTCCTGCACATGGGGGCTGGCTGGGAGGTAACTGGGACAGGGAAACAGGCGTTCTGGTTGGTGAAGGGCTCTGCTTAGACCAAAGGAGAAACAGTGCTGGCTGTTAGGACTCCAAGAAGCCCCCTGAAGAGGGTCCCTCTTCTCCGTGGATGCTTTACAATCACCTCAACCCCCTACAGAGAAGAGTCTGCAGAGCGTTAAATGGTGTCTGACACCCTGCGACTGCCACCTCATTTGGAGAAAGGTCCTGGCTGACCTATAAGTTAGGTTTAAGGCTATCATTAAGTTAAAGATCTTTGGCTAAGATCATCCTGGATCATCTGAGTGGGTCCAAACCCAATGGCAATCCCCCTTATAAGATGTACGGGGAAGACACCCCTAACATGGGGAGGCAACGGGACCATGCAGGCTGCACCCAGCAGCCAGGGTGCAGTGGGGACCACGAGCCACTGGAAGAGACACGGCATGAATGGAGCTCAGCAGAGGAGGCAGCTCAGCCAGCACTCTGCCCTAGCGTTCCACCCTCCAGCACCACAGGCGGGACAGTCTGCTGTTTGTAGCCACTGTGCTGATGGTCGTTGGCTATGGAAGTCCTAGAAAACCAACACAGAAGCTGGTGGAATTATCTCTAAGTTTGTGACTTAGGAGGCCGCGTAAGGAAGTGCGGTAGAAGGCCCCAGGGGACAGCCTGACCCTCAGCGCTGCTTCCAGTGCCACAAGACCCCAGCATCACTCATGAGCTGAGTGTATGGAACGGAAATGCGGGAGGTGTTCCCAAGGGCCTATCTCGGCAAGGGCGTGGTGTCTGCCTGGTGGTCAAACACAACATGGGACTCTTCCAGCAGGTGGGCGGTCGGCGGGTGTGGGTGGTCCTTCCGGGTCACCACACAGAGAACCACGTGGGAGACTGACTTCAAGCACGTGGGAGGGTCCCACCAAGAAACACCCCCCACACACGGAAGACCAGGAACAGGCTGCAGGAGGAGAGAGTTGTGCCTGCCCTCCTGGAGCATTTGAAGGAGTGGTCAGCTATACGGCAGGGAAAGGCAACACCAGTTATTTGGGGCAGGAACTGGTTCCCAGCTGAGGAGCTGGGCCTCTGATTTTAATGATGGAGTTGAAGAAAAAGCAGCGGAAAACACTGGGGGCTCACAACCTTGACAAGGCAGACCTCAGGAAGAAGTCTGTGACCCAGAGGCAAACGGTTCTCTCAAAGGGCAACAGGAGGCAGACGTCAAGCAGACAGGCTCACAACGTGCCTCCTGCACAATGAGGGGAGGGGTGTGGGGTCTACAATGAAGCAGAGTCTTCCTACCAGGACTGCTGAGAGCTTGGAAACTGCTCGTCTTACAACAAAGTCATCCTTGCTAATTCATAAGAGCATCCATGCCGATGACATGGGATGCGAATGTCAAACACAGCTTTCGGTAGACGGTTATACCACCCCTCACAAATGCCATTAATGTAAGCAGTCAGAATCAGAGCAAAAATAGCCAACGGCTTTCACCACTGAAAAAAAGTTCCCAGAATGAAACGTGGCTTCTACCTGGCCTGCTGTCACTGCTCCGGGTCTGGCAAGGAATTCCGACCCAGGACACATCACAAGGACAGAAGCTCAAGGCAGGCTTCCCCTCTCTCGGCCACTTCCCCAGCTCTGACCTCGAGCTATGCAGCCCGTGTCATCTCTGCAAATGGAACTCCTAGACTGGCCACAAGCACACAAGGTGTCCACTGCTGCTGACGCCATAAATAAGAGTGTCCATTGTTAAGTCAACAACGGGAGTCACTGTGCACCTGCTCCCCACGTAGGATCTCTGTCCTTAATGTGTTGTACTATGTGAATTAATGGCATAACTAGTACTCAAACAGTACTTTATACTTTGTGTGTCTGTGTGGGTGCAGTTGAAATCTTTACTTAGTATATACCAAGTTGATCTCCTGTGTATAAAGATAACTGAATATAGCCGGCGCCGTGGCTCAATAGGCTAATCCTCCACCTTGCGGCGCCGGCACACCGGGTTCTAGTCCCGGTTGGGGCGCCGGATTCTGTCCCGGTTGCCCCTCTTCCAGGCCAGCTCTCTGCTATGGCCAGGGAGTGCAGTGGAGGATGGCCCAGGTGCTTGGGCCCTGCACCCCATGGGAGACCAGGAAAAGCACCTGGCTCCTGGCTCCTGCCAGGATCAGCGCGGTGCGCCGGCTGCAGCGGCGGCCATTGGAGGGTGAACCAACGGCAAAGGAAGACCTTTCTCTTTCTGTCTCTGGTGTAGCAGCAAAGGCTTTGCCAGGCACATGTAGGAAGTGCAGGATTCCCCAAACCCGAGACCTACAGACGGCTTGATGCAGACGGGGATGCTAGAGGGAGTGGGAGATGGGATGGTTGTGGGTGGGAGGGAGGTTATGGGGGGGAAAAGCCGCTATAAACCAAAAGTTGTATTTTGGAAATCTATATTTATTAAATAAAAGTTGAAAAAAAAAGACAGAATGCATTTCAAGGTAGATAATGCACTTTTTTTTTTTTTTTTTTGACAGGCAGAGTGGACAGTGAGAGAGAGAGACAGAGAGAAAGGTCTTCCTTTGCCATTGATTCACCCTCCAATGGCTGCCATGGCCGGCGTACCGTGCTGATCCGATGGCAGGAGCCAGGTACTTATCCTGGTCTCCCATGGGGTGCAGGGCCCAAGGACCTGGGCTATCCTCCACTGCACTCCCGGGCCACAGCAGAGAGCTGGCCTGGAAGAGGGGCAACAGGGACAGAATCCGGCACCCCGACCGGGACTAGAACCCAGTGTGCTGGCGCCGCAAGGTGGAGGATTAGCCTAGAGAGCCGTGGCGCCGGTGGTAGATAATGCACTTCTAACAACCCACAGGTTTTGGTGTTCGACAGAGAGTTCCTGGAGAACACGCACTGGCGAGCAGACGATACTCACCTGTCTTCGCGTCTTTCCAGCCGTCGGAGAGCTGGGTCTTGGTCTGGATGGTGTACTTGGAGATGGGGCTGTGGTTGTCGGAACCGCGGCTCCAGGTGAGTGCCACAGACGTGGCTCGCACGTCTTCTATTCTCAGGCCACCTGGGGGACCTGGGGGGCCTGGGGGAAAACAGGGGTGATGAATCAATGGATGCCAGCTAGGGAATGAAGCGCACGACCCACCACAAAGCAGACCCCCTTACAGCCAACCCAGAGCACAGGTGCACGGCAGGACCAGTGCGGCTGTGCTTCTTGTAAATACAGACCCAGGTGGATTTCACGGGATGATTCCACGCGTCTCTCAGGGAAGGAGAGAAATGGAGCCCTTATTCAGGATGCACAAAAAGCCAGTGGCACCGACGGGACCTGACAGACTCACACAGTGAGGCTCCGTCTGTGCCCACTGAGCACAGGGACCAGCGGTGGTGGCTCAATTCAGGACGCACAGGAGGGCCTTCTGTGCCCCTCCCCCAAACAGAACAAATTCTGTTATATAATCTTTTTTTTAATTTTAATTTTTTATTTTTTGACAGAGTGGATAGTGAGAGAGAGAGACAGAGAGAAAGGTCTTCCTTTAGCCATTGGTTCACCCTCCAATGGCCGCCACGGCTGGCACACTGCACTGATCCGAAGGCAGGAGCCAGGTGCTTCTCCTGGTCTCCCATGGGGTGCAGGGCCCAAGCACTTGGGCCATCCTCCACTGCACTCTGGGGCCACAGCAGAGAGCTGGCCTGGAAGAGGGGCAACCGGGACAGAATCCGACGCCCTGACCGGGACTAGAACCCGGTGTGCCAGCACCACAAGGCGGAGGATTAGCCTATTGAGCTGCGGCGCCGGCCCCTTTTATATAATCTTAAATGTTGTAGGTGATTGTTTTTTATTTGGAGCAGAAATCTCTGGGAATGACTTCAAGTATCATTTTGTATAATCAATTTCATGCTAGTTGTAACAGTAACCGTAAACAACAGTAAAAGAAATGTTTTGATTGTATAGTAAGTAGACACAATCATCAACTCAGATATTTCAGCAATGCTCTGTGAACACCAAATTATGGCCTGACGTCTCAGGACACGTGCAGTGCCGCTGTGACGTGTAAGACGAGGTGTGGGACGTACGCTTCCCTCGTCAGCACCGGGGTCATTCATTCATCCCCTGGCGTGACAGCACTGTGGCGAGGGCCAGAGCTTGGAAGACCTTTGGAACCTTTAAGAACTCTCTGCCTTGAAAACTGAGACGGAACAGCAAAGTGTGTCTGCAAGCGGATGCACAGGGAGCAGCCGAGGCTGCGACACAAGCACACGAGGGTGCTGCAGGTGCCATCACGACTTCTTCTCTGGAAAAATGAGAAGCGGGGTTTTCTCACTGCGAGCTGACTTCGACTGCTCACAAGGGCTCTCCGTGACCGCAGCGTCCTAGAAGGGGCATTTCAGAAAACACCCTGACTTGTTTTCCTTGCAGCAGAAGCGACCATCAGCAGGGGAACTCGGGGTCTGAACACACGGTCGACGTGGGTGAGCCGTCCCACGATGAACCTGCATGTCTGCAGTCACCCGAGGGGGGCTTTTCCTCCACACGGGCCTTGGTCCTTGTGGAAGCCCAGATGACACCAGAACCGTCACCAGTCTCCCCAGGGCTGGTCCACGCAGGAACAAGGATGTGCATCCCAGCGGACACCCACGAGCAGGAATACTGAAACATCACAAGACAGACCCTACTGATGGCACTATGTTTTATTACCTGGAAACACATCACGAATGTCATCTGCAACAATGGACTTCTTGATGCTAAATAACTGAAAACAGCCACACAAATACAAGGGAGCACATCTGACACTCATGGGGAACACACTGCATTTTCACAAACCACGCTGAGGTACAGTGCACATCTCGGTCCGAACCTAGAAGCTCGACGTTCCACACAGAGCATGACCCCACGTGAGACGCGGAGGGCTCCTTCACGGTACTAAAAATGAGCGAGGAAAATCAACGGAGCGATTTGCACAGGGAGAGAGTCCATGCATTTAGGCACCTTCTATAAGCATAAGGTGTGGCACTCAGAAAACGTCAAGCACCACTGAAGACCAAACTACCCTAGGTTAGTGTTTAATCACGAGAGTGACATCATTTCCCAACTACGCGCCTCTGAGGTTCTTGAGGCTTCGAAGCAATTGTATTTCACACAGGTCAGATGAAAACCACGTGATATTAGTACGTTTATTGTAACACGCTCACTGTTCAGAGAATGCTATGATTATATCTGTCAATTCTTTTCTGTGACATACATCGGGGCTGTATTGGGTTCCTAATAAATATTCAGAGTACATAAATGAACTTATCACACTTACTCTTCGGGCAGGGCTAATGGTCATCACCATGCCACCTGCTTTCTCCCACTTGCCTTAAAAGACTGCAACACCCAAAGGTCTGGGGCTGAGAGAACAGACAGACAGAGCAGGTAGACAGCCTCAGACCCTGGCAGGGCATCCAGCAAACTGACATGGAGTAGATCTTTCCAACTGCAATTGCCTACACACGTCTCCCAGAAAATAACAGAAAAAAATCCAACCATCCCAAAGCACAGATTGAAACACACTTTGCTCTCAATTCTGTGCCCCGAGTTATCTTGAGCAGGTTTCCTAACTTTACTAGGCTGGCATGTTCTCATCCGTAACACGGGAATATCCAGAGTGACTATGCTGGATCACTGTTAGGGTCAAATTCCCATCTTTAAAGAAGGCAGCGCTAGGCACAGTCCAGGGAGCTTTTAGGTGGGAACAGCAGTATCAGCCAAATTGCTCTCAGCTGCTGGGTTGCAGTTATTATTCGCAATTGCACGTCGTTGTCAGAGGTTCTTCATGTACCACTCGTCACCTAAAAAAGTGGGGACCTCTCAGAGTTACATGGGGTTTCTGGAAAACCTGATGCCGGGGTGGGGAGAACGAGGGGGCACACTGGAGAAGAATCAGAAGTGGCCAAAGCAGAGGTATGAGCGTGGTGGCCTGGAGACCACGGAGGACGTCTCAGTTCAACCCGGGCCCAGGCCAGCGCCGACTCGCACAGGAAGGTTTCTAAATGGTGCCGGCACATCCTGCTTGCTTAGATTTTTCTTCAGAAAGGAGAGCAAAGTACAGTGGCACCAAAGGAAACAGCACAGCTACCTTCTCCCCAGCCCAAAGGCAGGCACTGAAAACTGCCCGCCCGTCTGGTTAAGGCAAAGCCACACGCGACTCAGAGACTGGAGCTCCTTTTCTGTTCCTTCTTGGGCTTTCGCTATTGCATAGTCTCAGCAAATCCTAACGGACAGAACTGACGCCAGCAAACACATAATCAGGTGGGTTATTACACCTGACGATGTCGTCATCACTTGGCTAACATCGCTGGCCAGTTTCCATGGGCGTCCTGGGTCAGAGCGCTTGGCCTCCTAGAACAGTCTGCACCCCAAAGTGAAGTTATCACAGACTGAGCCTGCGGAATTCAAGCTGCTATGCTACGACACGTTATTTTAGTCTCTTGTTTCTTCCTTTCTTTTAATTATTGAAGATTGAGTAGGAAAAGAGAAAGGAACTGGAATATATTTGGTTAACCCCGGCAAAGTCTTGACATCAGTTCTGCTAATGCTAGTTCATTCCTGAACTGGAGAGAGGAAAAGGAAGCAGCAGGTAAAAGCGGCAGGGCAGACAGCGGCAGTCGCTGGAAGTGTGCTTCTCTTTCTCTTTCACGGGTTCACTTCTGCCTTCACATCTCTTTGCAGCACCTCCTGCCCCTGTGCTGCGGCCTCCGAGATGCGGCTTGTGGAGCTCCTCCGTCCTAGCCCACCGCAGAGCTGTTGAGTTCGTTTCCTGATGACACCCAACACTGACAGGCATCACCGAGCGACTGGATTTCTCCTTCACAACATCAATGGCACCGCCTTCAATGCAGACTTTTCTGTCTTTCCTTTTCCTATCCAAGCACACGGTCAGTGGCTGCCCTCTTTGACCTTTAGTACTTCAGGGAGAGGCTGGCATCGAGCGCTCACCGTCCACTTCTGTGTGCACCTGCCTCACTAGTCTATTCTCCAGCCCTCACTAGGTGGTCAATGGAGACGGCGCCATAAAATCTCTTAGGGATAAATAACAGCCTGAAAATCCTTGTTAGCGTCCTGCTTCTGTGTAGCGGATTCTGCAGAGCCGGCTGGAGGCGCCCACGGAGAATGGCAGTACTTTGTTCCTGCTGCTTTCTCCCCTGGTCAAGGGCCAGGATTGCACAGAACTGCCATTTGCTACAGAGTCTAATTTTTTTAAAGATTGATCAACCTGTCTGTCTGTCTGTCTGTCTGTCTATCTATCTATCTATTTTAAAGGCAGAGTTACAGAGAGTGAGATTAGGGAGAGACCGGGATAGTGAGATCTTCCATGTGCTGGTTCATTCCACAGATAGTCACAGTGGCTGGAGGTGGGCCTGTCCAAAGTCAGGAGCCAGTAGCTTCTTCCAGGTCTCCCACGTGGGTGCAGGGCCAAAGAACTTGGGGTATCCTCCAGTGCTTTCTCAGCTGTATCAGCCAGGGACTGGAAGGGAAGTGGAGCAACCGGGACTTGAGCTATAGCCCATCTCGGATACCAGCACTGCAGGCAGGGGCATCACTGGCTACGCCACAGTGTCGGTCTCTGTGGAGTCTAATTTATCACATCCATGTTCTGTTTCCCTAATTTTCTGTGTTATCAATAGTGTGTTTTTTTTGAGAAAGGGCAGATAACAGCCACATTTCAACATTTCCTAGAGAACACACACATTTTGGAGCTCAGTTAAGCCAAACCTGTATGTTTTGCAAAAGGGAGGTGAAGTCTACATAGGCTGTTGTCAGAATCAAACAGCAGGTCAGCGGCAGAGGGCAGAGTCAGGACAGGAGACAGGGGGTTTTGCACAACAGGCCAGAAATGAGCAAACTCTGAACTGTAAATTCACTTTATGCGGCTCCAATGCAACCATCAGCAAAAGACCTCCAGAGATCACCTGAACACCAACAACGTCCCAGGACTGTGCTCCTGGATTTGTGTGTGTTGTTCAACAGGGTGTGCACTCACAACAGGAAATCCACATGACACAGAATTATGAGTGAGTAGACAGGGAGACATATTTGTTTACACTTTAATAAAAATGATCTTCCAGCAAGTACTGGTTACAGCTGAGTCATGGCCGAATCTTTCATATCTCTTACCAATAACCTTACCACCAAGCGCTATTATTTGCCTTGTCATATATATGAGAAAACACAGGGACAGATGAAATAAAGTCATCATGGCCACTTAGATAGTAAATGGCAAAGCTAGCTGTTAAACCTGATAAATTTGTCAAGAGACCAACTTTTCAAGGACCTGCAAAACTCCACAGCTTGATGACAACATTAAGAGCATCCTATGGAAGTGACAGCTTTTCACAGGTAGCCTTTATGTCAGGGAGAGTATGAATTCCCTGGGCTGGAGGGTATACTTTGGAGAAAATAACGGAAAGTACTACATTAGTCATAGCTGTCTAAATTCCTACCATCCAGGTAAGCAAAGATAAACACATCATCATCTATAAAACCACAGTCGACATAACGTCAGTCATTCCTGATCACTAGAAAGGTGTCTGTTAATGTTTCTTGAATCTTACTAATGTCAGATACTGCGCTGTTTCTCTTTAGGCCTCGTCCACATGCAGTGAAAAAGAAAAGTGAGCAGAAACACAGCCCTTAACCGCTTCATTACTTCCCCTTCAGAAAGGCATGAACAAGAGGTGAGGCGTTTGCGGAGAGACGGCAGGAAAAGGTGTTTTCCAAATGACTGTTCCCACGTGAGAAGCTGAGCCTGTAATTCTCAATCCACAATCAGACTCCTCTGACAACTCAAGTGGAACAGAAGAGCAGGCACAGGGCCCTGCGGGGGCAGACGGCACAAGGAGTGGCCGCATATGCACCGTGGGCACTACGTGAGCGGTGCTGTCCAACAGGCAGAAGGTCTCCTGTGCCCTCTGCCCCCAGACACTGGCATCCAAACAACTGGAGCTGCAGGTGCACTGCAGAGCTACTGGCCCTTCCGGGACTCACTCCACATAGCAATGCACTGAACAAGAACCCTGCTGACTGCAAAATGGTGTAAGGAGGAGGAAAGGGAGGAGAGACAGGCTCTGGTAAGAAACTGGAAGCAAATCACTGCATCAAATGTCCTGTTTATTTTTACCAAAATGGCAAACGAGAAGTCTGAAGATATGAAGGAAATTTTTTAAAATTACATAACAAATTATCCTCCCTTTAAAAATAAAATCCTCTTAAAATGAAGACCGTTGCGAGAGAAAGAGCATCGGTCGTATCAGGACAGGTGGCTCTTCTTCTTCAAGATCTGACAACCACAGTCCCCGTGTCACTGCTCGCCCCTGCTTGCCCCCGGATCAGGGATCAGTGAAGACCACGCTCTACTGTCAAGACATAAAGCACACACTGATGATGGGTGATCTTGTTGAAGCCAAAGGTTCACTACGACAAAGCTGGATGGAATCAACTCTGCTCTACCACGTAATGGGGCAGCTTAGCTTCCTGTAACCTCCGGCACAGACGGAAGGAAAACCGAGTGAGGCCGGAGGCAGGTCAGGGGCCTGCACCACTCTTGGACTTGACAGTGACATCGTCAAGTCCAAATTGGACGTCCTCCCTTTCTGGAACCAGTCACACTGGTTCTGTGCCCCTGCATCCCGTTTTCATTCTTTCTTTCACAAACCATAGTCTGATCTGGACTTGGGGGAATCGTTTCAGACACGGACTATGTGGGAGGAGGCCCATGGTGACAACTGCTACTCAAGTCCCTGGGGTGTGGTTTACAGACCGATGAAAATGCTTAGGCTGCGTTAAGTCTTACTAAAATGGCAAGCGTCTGGATCCCTGGTCTGATTTCCAAGGGAGTTCCTTCTGAGACAGTAAGTGAGCTAGAGAGCATAGAAGGTGGAAACAAGGAACCCACCGAGCCAGCCACGTAGGGTGACCAATCAATTATTTTTTAAATAAAGTTATAAAAATGACTTAAGAATCCCATCAACATGTCAGCATTTTCCTGACTGCTCTTCTGACCACAGAAGGCAGAGAGTTTGGCTGGGGGGACGCAGTGACAAGCTGGCTCAATATCTCTGACCTGACCAGAAACTTAAGAACAAAATGACTTCTTGTGAAGAAACAAGAATTGTAAGCATTTTTTTTGGACTCCTGGGGGAGAGGGAAAGCAATGCCAGTGAAACGTGAGCAGTCTCACCAAGAATTCTACGCGCGTCAGTTTTAATCCCCTGCTCTGCCCAAGTCCTTGCAATAAAAAGCTCACTCTCTGCCCCAGACGAAAGCATCCAACAGGGCTGAGGACAGGAAAGTCAGGAAAACATCCTATCTGGGCACGGGCTGAGGGCGTAGCCATCTCCCCTTCCATCTTGTCCTGAGATGACGCGTTCCTCCACACGCTGTCCGGCGCTCACTTCCTCATCCCAGGAGGCACTCCACAGATCCTACGCAGCCACGGGCCGTCTTCCGTTGTGTGCGGCAGCTCCTCATCTTTCCCTGCCAAACAGCACGCATGGTTCCTGAAGTCCACTGCGCCACAGCCCTCTCCGCACAACCTAACGGAGACGACTCAGCAGCGAATCCCAGTGGCGCTGCTCGTGACCTGCTCGGATAAATCAGACAGTGCACGCGCTGGCGATACTCCTGTATCACAACTCATTCACTCCTGCCAGGTGCTGATCCAACTGCCGACACACAGAATTTCAAAGCACAACAGTACACGAAATCGCAACACTTTCGGGTGGCCAGGGAGAGGCTGGGTTAATTCGCTAGGCATTTCTCAGGTGTTAGTGAGGCTGAATGGTTGTAGGAAACAGCTTACTGCTCAAAGCACCCTAGAGCTTTAAGAAGGGGGAGACATTCTCTAAGAGGCAGGGTGCGGGAGGGAGCCGCAGCAGCTCTATGATGGAGTTAATCAGTCAGTGCTGGGGGGTACGTTAAACAGGTCAAAAAGGCCTTCACAAATGGTGGGTGCCAGTGGTCACCAGGCTGGAGGCAGGCTCGCGCAGACGGGGAGAAAGGGGTCCAGCATGCTTTTCTCTCCATCTTTTCTGCTTCTACCTGCAAGAGGAAAGACCAGCACTGAAGGGGCTGCAGACGCCCTGTTACGGCCACCTCTCCACAGCCCTGCAGAGCGTGGTTGGGACAATGGACCAAGGCACCTGTCTCCCCCAGGCACTGGGCACGGGCTGCGGACACCCTGTTATGGCCGGCTTGTCACAGCCCTGCAGAGCGTGGTTGGGACAATGGACCAAGGCACCTGTGTCCTCCAGGCACTGGGCACGGGCTGTGGACACCCTGTTATGGCCGGCTTGCCACAGCCCCTGCAGAGTGTGGTTGGGACAATGGACCAAGGCGCCTGTCTCCCCCAGGCACTGGGCACGGGCTGCGGACACCCTGTTATGGCCGGCTTGTCACAGCCCTGCAGAGCGTGGTTGGGACAGTGGACCAAGGCGCCTGTGTCCTCCAGGCAC